ATCTCGGTGGGGGACCTCGGCACTTCCCAACTCATCACCGCCTCAATCTTGGCCGGATCTACCAATATCCCGTTCTGATTAACGAGATGCCCCAAGAACTGGACCTCTCGTAACCAGAAATCACACTTGGAGAATTTGGCGTAAAGCCTCTCCGATCTCAAAACTCTGAGGATCTCCCTCAAATGCTCCTCATGCTGTTCTCGGGATCTCGAATACACCAGAATATCGTCGATGAACACGATCACCGATCGATCCAACATCGGCCTGCACACCCTGTTCATGAGATCCATGAACGCTGTCGGTGCATTGGTGAGCCCAAAAGGCATCACCACGAACTTGTAATGCCCATAACGAGTCCTGAACGCCGTCTTCTGGATATCCTCATCCCGCACTCTCACCTGATGATATCCAGACCTCAAATCTATCTTGGAGAACCAATACGCTCCCTGCAACTGATCGAACGGATCATCGATCCTCGGTAAGGGGTAACGGTTCTTGACCGTCAACTTGTTCAACTCCCGGTAATCAATGCACATCCGGTGTGAACCATCCTTTTTCTTGACGAAAAGGATCGGCGCTCTCCCCACGACGAGCTACCCGGTCGAATAAACCCCTTCCCCGGCAGCTCCTGAAGCTGCAAGGATAACTCCTGCATCTCTGGCGGCGCAAGACGATAAGGCGCATTGGCGATAGGCGCTGCCCCTTGAACCAAATCGATGCGGAACTCCACCTGTCTCTCAGGAGGCACACCCGGAAACTCCTCGGGAAAAACATCCGGGAACTCACGCACTATCGGAACGTCATCAACAGAACTCGGCCTCTCTGCGGCCACTCGAGTATCCATCACATAAGCTACAAACCCGCTGCAGCCCTGCTGTAAACTCTGTCTCGCTCTGGCAGCTGAGCAAAATGCTGACCCATGTCGGGTACCCTCGCCATATATCGTCAGCACTCCCCCACTAGGGTCTCGTATCATCACCGTCTGTCGCTCGCAGTCTATAACCGCCCCGAATTGGCTTAACCAATCCATGTCCACTATAACGCAAACGTCCCCCATCGCAATTGAGACCAGATCTATCGGGAACTCAACAACGAAGATCTCGAGCATACATCCTCGAATCACGTCAGTAGCATACACCGTTCGCTCGTCAGCTATGGAAACTCGTAGAGGTCGACTCAATGCCTCCCTCCGAATACTGTGTTGGTTAAACGCTAACGACACAAATGATCGACTCGCACCCGAGTCAAATAACACCAAGGCAGGTACAGAACTCATAAGAAAAGTACCTACGCATATCATAATATAAGCCCAATATCTCAACTCAGCATAAATAAATGAAAGAATACATACCAGCCACGACATCGGGCGCTGCGCAGACCTCCTCCGCTGTCAACTGGAAGGCTCTCCCGCGAGCCTTCGATGCCTCGGCCTTCACTGACCGACACTCAGTAGCTCGTGCAGTAGCAGGGGCAGATCCCTACGCTGATCCTTGTAGCAGCTGTGGGCACTCGGCCCTCCGGTGACCCATCTGGTTGCAATGAAAGCAAACCATAAATCCTTTGGGGTAGTCCTTGGCTATATGCCCCTCCTTGCCACATTTGTAGCAAGCACCCGCTCGACACACTCCATCATGTCCTCTACCGCACTTCCCACAAGTGCGGCCCTTCTGGCCTCCAGATCTCGTATCAGCGGACTTAGTCCGCTTGGCTGCCGGCTGTACCTGTACCGGTCGCCTGTCCCTCCTCTGAGACTCGGCCTCCTCCCTAGCCTGAGTCTCCAGCTCAATCTCCCTCTTCCGGGCATTTGCCTGGAGCTCAGCAAATGTCCGGTAAGTCGAGTTCGCCACGAACTCCCGAATGTCCCTCCTCAGAATGCTCAAATATCGGCTCATGCGTGCCTGATCAGATGACACGTGCTCAGGGCAAAACATCGCCCTCTCGTGGAACATCCGTGTAATCTCAGTCACGGACTCCGTCCCCTGCTTGAGAGTCAAGAACTCCTGTGCCAACCGTTCCCTCTCCACCGGAGGAACATACTCGTCTCTGAACATGGTGGTGAACCTCTCCCAGGTCACCTCTGAGATCTCTGCAAGAGTGAAGTTTGTCGTCGCAAACTTCCACCAATCCTTCGCTCACAAGCGGAGCTGGTTCAACGCGAACCGTACCCTCAGATGCTCCGGACACGAACAGGTGTAGAAGCATCCCTCAATATCATAAATCCATCTCATCGCAGCAATCGAGTCCTGCGTCCCATCAAACTCTGGCAGCTTCGTGTTGCTGAATTCCCGGAATAGCAACGAGTCACCCCCCTGAGGTCTAGCAGCAGCAACAGTTGTCGTAGCTGCAGCGGCTGCAGCCTCAGTAACTGTGGCGTACCGCTCATCGAATGTCTCAATCAACGTGGTCTTAATAGACCCAAACATCTCCCGGTGTCTCTGCTCGGATAGCCGCAGCCACCTCATCGTGGATCATCTGACGAAGCTCCTCGTCACTCACGCCGCTGGTCCCTGGTCTGTGGCGTGTCCCAACCATGATGTCTCTGAAATACAACATAAAAATATCAGAGAGTCGCTCGAATTATACTCGCACTCGATAACTCAACCCTACTTGCTCCCTGGTACCCTGAGGATTCTTACTTGCTTTGCGCACTGATCCGGTGTTTTCAGTAGTACGGGCCCTATACTACCTTCCACACCGCATCCGCATTCATTCCAAGTCCTCCTCCTAGGATCCCAGATCACAAGCACTCTACATCTCGCTAAGCATAGGCTACCCTTCGGTAGACTTCTCTTAAGCTCTTTACTGCTACCTACTCACTCTTGAAGCATCTCAAAGCAACAGTAATCTCCTAGGCTAAGGCATCACAAATCAGGCCACTCTAGTCCTAATATGAATACCTGGCCTACTCTAGCATGCATAACATGTCATATCATATCTCATAACACATAATGTAAGGGTATTTTGGGAAATCACCGTTCGGGCGCTGGCAGATCGTACACACTGCTTCTTCCCGTTTTCCTCAAATTCCTTTACTTTTTAGAAAAATTGTTCCTTTTATGAAAAATTTCTCAAATCCTCAGTTTGAGTTCAAATACACCCGAAGATGCATCCGAATCCCTCAAACCAAGGCTCTGATACCAATTTGTAACAACGTGAATTTCCAAAACAATTTTTCATTTTTTTTAAAACATAATTTCATTCATAATAAGCATCAAAAACCCAGTGTAACACATGTCATCCAAATAGAACAATCCCAAGATCTCAAATACATAAAAACTCCATCAATGTGTACAGATCATGCCGGCGCCTTCCCGCGATCCTCGCTGGTACCTGAAACACATATCACATAAACGGTAAGCATAAATGCTTAGTGAGTTCCCCAAAATACCACATACGCACATACGCCACTCAAGGCTATAACTCTACAGGATCTTCCGATCCACGTGTCTCAGGGGACTTCCGTCCCACAATCCGGATAGACCTTCCGTCCCTCCTCTGTCGACCTTCCGGTCCCTAACATCTTGACCTTCTCGTCCGTATCATAATGACCTTCCGGTCCATACCATACTACTCATAACAAAACATAACACATATATATCATATAACAGCATACATCACATACTCCTCATAGCACATAAGACCTTCCGGTCACACATAATTACCACTCTAGGTACAGTATAGTGAGAATACTCACCTCGTACGATATCGGATAATCTCTCTGGCTCGATAACCCGATCTAGCCTCCTCCTATCAACATAATAACATCTCTAATCAATACTTTCTCTTGAACCAGTTTGACCAAAACCCTAGGGTCAACTGAAGTCAACCCTAGTCATTCGGTCAAACTTTGACCAAACTCGTCGAGTGCACTCGTGTGACTCGGCGAGTCCATGTCCTCTTAATCCTCATAAATCCTCACTTGACTCGTCGAGTTAACCTTTCACTCGACGGGTTTCCACTGGTCACGAATCGCAGGGCAACCCAACTCGACTCGTCGAGTCCCCTTATAAACTCGGCGAGTTCCCTCCATGGCAATGCTCAAAAGACCTTCTGAGGTCAGATCTGTTTCTCTATCCTATAGATCTGACCTTCCAATACACAATAATCACGTAAAGGTCCAACCTTTACACTCATGCAACACTCATAGGGCTTCTTTCGGTGAAATAGCTTCTAAAATGGCAACCTAGGTTCATATCTCCAAAGGTATAGCATAAAGCAGGACAGATAGGACTCTCTGGACCTCTTAAGGTCCAGATCTAAGAAGGATTCCACCTTGGGACCTCATATGCTTCGAATCCAAGCTAGAGAAGGCATAAGAAAACCCTAGATTCAAGTAGATCACCATATACACGAGAATGAGCATAGTTTTATACCTCTAGCAGCCTCTTCTGATCAAATGGTAGAAGATCTGAGCTCTACAATCTGTCTAGCTTGCCCTCCTTCCTTCTTTCTTGCAAAAATCACACTAGAAATGAAGAGAATGGCTTCTTTTCTCACTCACAATGCTCTCAGGTTCTCTGGTGCTCTCAAGGGTGAAGGTGGCCGCAAATGAGGGTCATAAGATCCCTTAAATAGGGCACATGCCCGAGGATTTAGGGTTTCAGCCCACAGCGCGGACTCGTCGAGTCGACTCACCGACTCGTCGAGTCCATTCATTAAATCCAGTCAGAAATCGCGATCCTACTCGACGAGTCTGGGCGTCAACTCGTCGAGTCCCTCTTCTAGACACAAAATAAATAATTAAAATTTGATACCTGGAATTCCGGATGTTACAAAATTGAGACTAAAAAAGCATTAAACTAAAAAACCTTCTCCACAAGCGAAACCCAGACCGGAATAAAAAAAATTCTTCTGATGCATTTTGACCGATATCCCCCTGATCGATAATAATTATAACATTTTAGTGAAAATTATTAAAATAATGACATTTAAGTTACTAAATAACAACTTAATTAAGCCTTAGACCATTATTATAAATGTTTTTAAAACGAATAACAATGTCATGAATCGGTTCCATCACTTCCTAAACAGTTAACAAACTCATCCAAATTTCCTGCAAAACATACAAAAACTTGAATAAAACTAACCTAAAAAAATCACTTCATATATAGAAACATTGTCAAAAACCAATAACTATAAGTGTTTAATCATAAAATCTTGAAAAGACTAACCTAATATGGAGAAAAAAATCATGAAACCAACATAAATCTGAACAACTCTTCGACTCCCAACTCTGGTTAATCCAAGAAGACCCACATTTTCCCTGAAATAAGATGATGTTTCAAACTTGTTCTTACAAAAGAAATTTCTCATAGTTCATAAAATTTAGTCTTAAAACACTTTATGATATATGCAACCTACTTTCAAACTTTCCATAATTCATAAAGTTGTAAATTTATACCAAATAAAAGTCGATTCAATTACAAACATTTCATCAACTTATACCCACTTCTATTCAGATGTCTAATAATTATGCATTTAAATGACAATTTTCATATAAAGACATGTAATATCATCAAACATGTCAATTTCCATTCTAATAACACCAAATTGGCAAATGGTTCTTACACTGACACTATGGATCCAATTCCAATTCCATAAAGACCATCTAGAAGCACACTTATTCCCTGATAAAAACAAATTTGACTTCAAGATTTAGAATTTTTTTGACCTTAAAAATTTTATCTTTTTTATATAATATAAAGAACTCACATGCCATCTAATGCCTCTGCAAAGTACATAAGCAGGAGGTGGAGTTGCAATTGCCAGCCTTGATGCAGCCTTATAAGCACTAGTTGAATGTGTTACAACAAAATCTGATTAAAAAAACAAAAAATGAAACAATTTTTTTAACTTTTTTTTTATAATTATGACGCGCGCTTACCTCAGCCATTGACACAAGAACTAAATACATCGTCGCGAACGAATGGCCAACTGAAAAAGTAGGTGGACCCCACTATAACGGGTATGGAAACTTAAGCCTGAATGATTTTACTATTTTAGGACAAAATCAAATATGTAAAAAGGATATTAAATGAATCTATTTAGTTTATTAATACTAACCATGGAGCAGTGGATGTGAGATTTGCTTTATTTGTTCTACAACTTATTTGAGTTGTATTAGGTCTATTTCTATATGCTCCACTAGTTGTTAGTATAATTGAATATATCCATATAATTGATATGCATATTAATACAGGGAACCTCTCAAAAATGGGAACATCTTTCAGTAGTCTTGTGTGCTTTAAATACTGCAAGTTTTGAGGAATTATTAGATTCTTTAAGGCAATAATAAGACATCATTGAAATGAATTATCACAAAAAAGAAAAACTTACCTGTGAAACTCCAATAAGTAAAAGTAGCATAGTCAACCTGATTTCCACACAATTTCCTAGCTGAAAAAGGAAACACACAACAAAATATGTTACCAAAATGGCACTAACATTAAGTCATGCATTGGATTAAGTCTGAATCTGAATAAATGACTATTTTACCCTTTTTTTAGAAATGACATAAAAATAAACATACCATGGAAAATCCACGCTGAAATAGCCCTAAACCAACTAAACCAACAACAGGAGCCATGCCAAGTGGACTGGAAATTTTATGAATTTTTTTTCCAAAAAATGAAAAATTAAAATTAGAAAATGGAAGATTAGTAAAGAAAGAAAAATGTTTAAATATACTGTGAAAAGAGACCTCAAAGCTGGCTATAACCAGCAACAATTTGAATGCTAGAAGCAACGATTAAAGCTCCTTGGTTAGGTCTCATTGTTTGTATAATATCTGCAAAACCAATTGAACACAAAAATTTCTTTCACATTCTACATTCTCATATTTTGACAAAAAAGGGTATAAAAGACATTTTACAACATACATCATAATGATTTGGGATCCGTTGCAGAGATGAATCATTTATGATGTAAAGTATGGGCATATTCCAAAAAAGCAGGTAACCTGGTTCCAAAGAGTCTTTGAAGAAGTGTGTTGATTCCAGCTATAAATAGTAATGTTTGTAAAACACATGCCTTATCACCCTAGAAGAAAAAATATTAAATAAAATAGAGAATTTGTATTAAAAATAGTAGAGAGAGAGAGAGAGAGAGAGAGAGAGAGATGAAGGAAATTAAAATATGCTTACATTTGATCCACCCATCAATGGAACTAATAGTAAAGGGATCATTACACTTGTTCCAAGCATAAGAATGTAGTTTTGAAATGCTAAAAGAATTGTTTCAGCTGCAGTACAATGTTATATAAATTGAGATATAAATCTTGATTTCACATTTATTTCTATTTATTCTTTGCTAAAAAAAACCTAGCAATCACCGATCATAATTTAAAAGAATGGATTGGATAGAACCCTAATTATGGTTCATAAAGATCAGCATTCAAATCATCATGATTTCGGAATGATTCCAATCCAAAAAAGATAGATTTGTTCTTTCTTTGTCGTTCTCTGCACCAAATTTCTGTTCATCAATGAAGTGATAGTAGGAAGCAGTAGAAAAAACGGAGTAAAGTCTGTAACAATTATTAAATAACCTTTTAATAGAGTTTCTTCTCAATTGTTGAACAATTTACTTTTGCTTCAGCTTCTCTCTTCATAATTTATGCTCGATCAGAATGTGGAAATGGCGATTATCAATTAATCAACATTTATGATCATACCAGATTCACTGGAGGACCATTTTGCCCCCATCAGTACATATAACAACTCATATGTATGATATAATTCTATTATTTATGCTCTGCTCTTCTGGTTATCTCAAGCATCCACAATTACATAAAAGATAAACCATAAAATCAACCCTCAATCTAAAAATAAATTGAATAAATCAACAATTACACAAATGATAAACCCTAAAACCAATGATTTCATAAATAATACATATATCTTTTCTCAGGAATCATGATTGATGAAGAAATATAGGGTGTGAATTTGGTGATTACAAATGGAGAGCAATCCACGTTTAAGAGAGTATGATAGTCATAAAACTATATTTGAGAATGTAAAGTGACTAATAATTTACCTAATTGGAGTTTGTAGAAGATCAATGGCACATACATAATCGATTTTGATACATCTGTCGGTGGATTCACTTTTCCAGCAACAACTTCAACGTTCTATATAAAAAGTATACGTAACACAATTGTTAATACATATGAAATCGAAATTTTAAACATTAATGGACATTAGCTTCAATTATATATCGAACTTGATTATACAATCGACTAAATATCAAAGGAATCGAGACAACAAGCTAACCTTACGTGAAGAAAGAATATACGAATTGGCAAAAACATTAAATCAAACGAATCAATTAGTTTTACCAATTGAAACAAACAAATGCAATGAGATACAAACAATCGAAATCGAGTAAACAAATGATTTTTTACCTTAAGTGAAGGTATGTCAGACGAATCGGAAGCCATTGGAGCAACAGAAGCAACTATTTATTCCAACAATTGTCAATCGACAACTATGATTCAAACAATTACAGTGAAATTCAACTCTTTATATAGGCAAGATAGATAATTAAAACCACCTGATTTCTAGCAATCATGGAATCGTGTGGTGCAGTTGTTGATTAAAACCAATTTGCGGTTAAGGGTAAAAGTCCGACGTGTTTCCAAATCAATTGCTTCTTAAGGAAACAACAGTCAATTGTGTACAACTTGTGTAGAGACGGAATCGTGGGGGAGAAGAACCAGGAGGAGGCGATTAACTGCAAAAAACCGCCAAAATCAAGTTTATGCGGACGAGATTGAAAGAACGTGGAGTTTAGACGGCTGTGATTTTGAGGACGACGGTTAGACTCACCGCGTCAATAGTATTAATAATTTAATATGAATTAAATAATTTACTGAAAATAATTTACTTTAAAAATCAAACTTAAAGAGTCTGAACACAAAAAAGTTACATGAAGAAGAACTTTAATTGTTTTACATAAGTGTGTATCTAACTATATGTAATGGATCCTAAATCACATAAATGTAATCAACACTAAAAACAGTTATTTTATATTCATAGGATTCGATACAATGTTTACATACAAAACCTTTTTATTACACGAAAACAAAAGAAAAATAATAATAATAACTACTGCTAATTTATTGTCATTAAGCTTCTTTAATATCCGAAGATATCACGAACTATGTTCGAAGTACTAATTGCTTTTAGATTCGATTATCCAATCATTCATTTGCAATTACATGGGTTGCAAGTGCAGTTTGATCCACACTTGCAACCATTCTCTGATGTTGCAACTCCCATCTCTGATCCATCGTGACAACTATACAAAATCATTAAAATATACATTAGTTATTTTTAGTATCAAATATATATATATATATATATATATATATATATATATATATATATATATATATATATATATATATATATATATATATATATATATATATATATATATATATATATATATATATATACCATGATGTCATGATTGCATGTAAGTTGGTCATGTCACATCAAGAAGCACGAGTTTGTATAATTAAGTGGCGATGTTTAAGAAATAGTGAAAGTTACATTGGTACCTCTTGGTGGCGGATGCAACACCGGCGATGGTGGTTCTGGTGGTGATGGTCTCGGAGTTGCTGATGTCTGCGTTCATCTTGCAGCCACCACAGCTGGTCCCACATTTGCAACCGGAACCACAACCGCAGTTACCTGAACAGCAAGAAGATGACATTTTTGCTTTAAAAGGTTATGAAAGAACTAAAGGAATATCAAAGGGTGTTGATTGTAGTGGAGGAGGTGACGGTTTTATAGGCGGCAGGTGGAGGAGAGTGGTGAAACGGATTTTAATGGCCGTCGTCCACGTGCATGGTGGTCAAAAAGTTTTGTTGTGCTTCCTTTTATTCAGCATGTTCTTTGAATGTTTCCGTTATGATTTATGGGTGCTAAAAAAAACCACGTGGCTGTGTTTCTTTTAAGATACTCCATTAAGCTATCAAAACTATATTTTTGTTAACCTATCAAATATATTTTATAGCCTAGGCACATAAACCAGGTCCAAAACTGGACCGGAACTAAAAAAAAACTCAATAACCGAATAAGCCATAAACTAAAGACCAAAAATCAGACTAAATACAATTTCTGGTTCTTTTTTTCAGTTAAAAAGTTCTTCCCTACCTTTTAGTTTCAGCTAAATAATCATTTTTCTTTAAACAATAATTTCACAGCAAAAGTTAAAATGGTCATTTACTTTAGATTTTAGTGTACATTATTTACTGCTAAACTTATATTTGTTATTCAAAATATATCATTTTGCCCGGCTGTTGCAGGTGTAACAGGGTTCTTTTATGATAATGGAGGACCCCAATGATCCAAACGAAGCAACCTTCTGGCGCTTTGTCCACCTAGCAATACACATGGACCATTTAAAGCATCTCTTTTGGGAAGTCCGTGACCACCCCTCAATTGAAACCTAATGTCGACCAAATCTGGGTCACTCTCATAAGGAGAGATTTTTCTAACACCCTAGCCGGTTTATACGTTCAAGAAACACAATTAAACTTACATTTTCATAAACGATTTAGCATTAAACTATTTACACATTTAGTAACTTTTATCTTTTTCAACTATTATCAATTTTCCGATCATTTTTTCCAGCCAACACAATTCCTAAGACGAGATAAAACATCATTTTATATGTTCATTTTTTTTAAAACATTGCAAAGTGCAAAGTCTCCTTATTATATTCTTCGGTGAAAACACCCCCACACCCTTTACTACTACTGTTATCCCTCCTACCTCCAATCACACCTTTCTATGTTCCTCTTCCTCTCTTGTTTCTTTACGAAACCCACCCTACCCCCACATCCCTCTCTCGTCCTTTCTTCTTGAATCGTGCACCACCAATAACCACATCTGCTCAAGGATGCAATTTTATGTTGGAATCTGAGTTCGTTTGAATCGATTTTTAGGTTTGAATGTGAGTTGAATCGATTTTCCTACATCTTGAAGCTGGTTTTAGATTAGTTTCTTGGTGGTGATGGTGATGGTGAACAGTAGAGATGGGTGGTTGTAGTGGAGAACAATGGTGATGGAAGGTGGTGTTTGTTGATGGAGGTGGATGGTGAAGGTGAGAATGAATGATATTGGTCAAAGAAGATGACCGAGTGTGTAAAAAAATGATAGTAACTCATGTAGCCAATTAACATACAATACTATGTAATGATGATTGGTTTTGAGCAACTAAGGTGAGTTAATGATAAATCATATAAAAAAATAACTAAATATATAAAAAGGTGATAATTTATTACCCTACAAAAAATTATTTCTAAATAATTCTCTTTTAATTGAAATTGTTTGGCTTTCTTGTCATAAACCATTTGGCATCTGATCTCAATATGCAAAGATTTTTGTAAGTATGTTCCATATACATGCATCTCAACACTTGCATGTTAAGAATCACAAATTGCAAAAAGATTTTTTTTTTTTTACCAGTATAGACAATGTATTGTAACCTCACGTATTATAGCATTACAATTTTAACATTGTAGTTACCAAATTTATTGTTAAGTGACAAGTGATACATTCGGTTAACAAAATTACATTTTCATTTTTACACACCAATAACAATAATTCACACACAAAAAAGTGTACACAAATCCCTGTATATTCTACACTCATATGTGTTGTAACAAAATCCAAGATCTAATGTTTTCTACAAAAGGGGAAATTAAGGTATAATTGTATGTTATATATATATGATGTCAACTATCTTGAAACTTGTTGCAAAGGAGGCCAAGTTATCTCATCATCATCTGTGTAGCCTCGAATTAAAAAATCCGAACAATTCTTCACAAATCCATGATTATATGGATTCCGAAAACGCCCATCTGTTCCCTGAAGATAACCATATCTTGTAGCATTCATAGATTCATTTGTTGTTATGTTTCGACTAATCTGCATTCAGATAACATACCTTCAATGTTCAAGATTATAAAAAGCTCCACGCTTTCTTTTGAAAACCATTTTTTTAACAGTGACCCAATGTTACAAAGTGTATTGACTACAATACCCTTTAACAGAATCTCACAATTTGTTTTTTTTTACTCGAGGGTATAATAGGAATATTACCTGGTAAGCTTGTATGATGATCAAAGTTCCAGCAGCAATTAAGATAAAGAAATCAATAAAAAGGAAGGTGGCAGCACCAGGTTGTTCAAAAATGACATGATGAATCCAAGATTCATTGTTTTGTAATGCAGGTATTGATGTCCACATTCCTGTCATTTTATGGGATAAAGATATTTAATAAAAAAAAAGACAGGTGGCAGAGAGTGATTGGTTTAGAATTGGGACATACTATGAATAGCAACCACTGCACTTATCACTGAAGTCAAAGTTCCCAAGAATAGAAACACAAAGAAGTCCCATTTATTCTTCTGAACAAAAAAGAAAAGCAATTGCAATAATATGTATTTGCATGTTGACATGTTGAAGAAAAAAATATTAATTACAATTGAGTTAAAAAGGTTTAAATACAAAAAATTAAAAATACCTTTCCAACACAATTTGAGATCCAGGGGCAATGATGGTCAAATTGTTCCACACAACGTTTGCATGCAGGACAATGTTTGGAGCGAACAGGTCTTATTATCTTAAGATAAAAGGAGAATTTAGTATTAATAATAATATATAATATATTTGAAGTGTGATTAAAAAAGAAATAAAATAAAGAAATTAAAGAAAGCCTTTTTAACAAACCTTGCAAGTAGGACATAACTGAGACCAATTTCCACTCCAATAAGCAGTGTTAGTCAAATCAATGGTCAACAAATGACCCTGTATTAAGTCGAAAGAAGAATTATAAAACAGTCAAATTTTTTTATTTGGCACTAGTTCTTAAGTGAGGGTAAAATGGTCATTTACCCTCATTGCAGCTAAATTACCTGATTCTGAAATTTACTAGTTTTATTCAGTTTCGTACTTATTTGTAGTTTCATACCAAGAATGTATTATTTTTATTTAGCACTAATTCTTGACGGAGGGTAAAATGGTCATTTATCAATGAATCAGAAAGAAAACATACCTCGGCATCAGCATTATTCTTTATCCCTCCCGACATATTCACATAACCAGGATCTTTACTGAAAAAGTTATGAACAAAAATGTAGTCAAACATTAACCAACACAATATTAAATTTGTTGTATTTCTTGAAATATTTCAAAAAAATAAAAAATAAAGAGTAAATTACATGAATGGCCCCTATGGTTTAGGGTAATTTGCACGTTTGGTCCCTAACTTATTTTTTTAACTCGGAAGGTCCCTACTGTTTGTGTCTGTTACGCGCTTGGTCCCTACTGTTTTTTTTGTTACGCGTTTGGTCCCTGTATTACCTAAAAAGACTATTTTGCCCATGATTTTTTAATTTTTAAATAAACAAACCCCACCCCCCTCCCCCCCATCTTACCTTACCTACCCCACCATTTTCCCTATTTAAATAAGTCTTTTTAGGTAAGACAGGGACCAAGCGCATAACAAAAACAAACAGTAGGGACCTTCCGAGTTAAAAAAATAAGTTAGGGACAAAACGTGCAAATTACCCCAAACCATAGGGACCATTCGTGTAATTTACTCAAAAATAAAAGAAATATACCTGCTACAACGGATAAACATCAATAAAGAGGCGATTGAAAGGGAAACAGCTGTCCATCCCCAAAGCCCAACAACAGCAGTGACCTTTACAAGATTAGAAGCTAAAATAGATGAAAAGGAGGAAGATCTTGATTAGTAATTTAGTATAGTAAACTAAATTCTTTTAAGATGATTAAATAATAATATAAATTATTAATACCCACCAAAAAGAATGGAATTGATGAAGATTATTGTGCTCACAAATACTAAACAAAACAAAATAGGGGCGTAGCCTATATCCCCGATTTTTTTAATCCAAGGTTTGTCTTTCCAACAACTGTTTTGTGCACGAAGTGCATTAGACTGCATAAATTTCATAAAAATTCATAAATGGTAAAAAAAAGAATTATACTACAAAAGAATTATCAGAAAAAAGATGCATACAAGGATCAAAGAAACATGACGATGGCCTCTATCTGCAGCAATTTGTGCAGGTGTGAATCCAGCACTATCTTTCACCATTAATTCCTGTTTTGTCCCTGAATGTAGAAGTACAACACATGCCTCCAAATTTCCTCTCAATGCTGCCCAATGCAAAGGGGTACAACCTAACAAAAAAATATATATTCAGTCCTTGTTGCTTTTTTTAAAGTTATGTGTTGTTTGGATTTGGTTGGATACATGATGTTTGAAAAATATTTGAGAAAGTGAGGGCATAGTTGGGAAATTGAAGGAAACATAAATGGTGACAAATTTCTAAAATGTTAGGACTTCAAAAGTATTCTAGAAAGGTAAATTAGGAAATCAGCCGAATAAGGGAATATTTGATAGTGGAGGGGTAATTTAGCAACTTACATTTATTCTTTAGCATATAATAGCAATACACTCTCCAACTTACTAATTTTTTTCTGTTTCATGCACTATGACATTTTAACTTATCTAACTCGGTCCATTTTGTGATTTTTGTCTCCTCTAATAGTAGTCTTACAAATATGGTGTCATGTAGCTTTTATATTCATGAATATTGGGTCGATTCATGTCAACTATTGTGAAATTAATTTTTTTGTTGTACTTCATTATTTTCTTACAATATGTTAAGGAATTTAACAATGTGGCAAGATTTACATGTCATGTGTAAGGG